CTAGTTGGCTCATGGTTTGGGTGACTGTTAAGTTCAAAAGCAAGGTGCTAGCATCTGGTGAGGGCCGGCCTGCCCTGTTACGTCATGGTGGAAGGCAGGAGAACAAGGGAGTGTGCAAGACAGGAAAAGCATGGGAGCTGAGCTCATCCTTTTCTCCCACTCCTATAAAAACCAGCCCACTTTCAGGATAAAGCATTAATCCGTTCATGAGGGCAGAGCTCTCACAACCCAATCACTCTTAAAGGCTCCACCTCCTGACAGTCACAATGGCAAGTAAATACCAACCCGAGTTTAGGAGGAGGCATTCAGACCACAGCGGGACCAGAACAAGCACAGGTTCCTGAGGTTTGTCTTGGGCCAGGAAGCAGACTCTGCCAAGGGTTCCCTCTGACATTGAAACCAGAGGCTACCAACAGGCAACAGGAATAGCAATGTCACTGATGACTACTGATGGCAGAAATAGCCACCAAAGCCAAGGCACTTCTTCCATGTCCCATGTATTCATGCCCGTCTAATTCCCTGAGCTGCTAAACTATCACTTTCAGTGATTAGCTCGCTCATAAAATCTAAGTTGACTGCCAGGAGGTGGCGAGAGAAAACTGGATGTGCATACAGAAGAGTGGAGGCTGTGGAAATGTGCATATGTGCGCACAGTTTTGCATGCAAGTGGTGAGAAGCTGAGGGTCTGAGCAGTTTTCTGAGATTCCCCAGAACACGGAAGGCTTGTAGGGCGTATGGGAGAACTGACAAGTGTACCAGAAGGCGAGGAAATGGCTGCAAGCAACACTAATGCCACTCCATCTGGAAAGGGGGAACTGTTTAGTACGTCTGGAAAGCATTATTTCTGCAAATAGCTCAACCTCTATCAACTTTCAGGCAGGGATCCCGATCTGCTGCCAAATTGAGATCTCCCTGACGGCACTGTGCTGGGAGACGCTGAGCAAATGAACTAATAGCACAAAGCAGGAAATCTGTAGAGATAGCAGACGGGAAGGTACCACACAGCAAGCACCTGCCTTGCTCCAAAGAGACAGCCGGGGCTTCACATCACATTAGGCCTGGGCTGTGCTGGGGGAGGACTGGACCTGGTGGGATTTGGAACTCAGCAGCCATTTCCAACAATTTCTCACTATTTTTGGGCTCAGAAAAGCCCCAAATAGGGTTAGCCAAATGGCTTTCCTGCATTGATTTTTATACTCGGGGGTATTTTGAAGGAAATTAAATCCATGTGTTTCTGATTCAGTTGCCATTAGCACATGGAAATGCTGTTTTGTGAGAGTTATGTATGCCATGGGTGCCTCGGCACAGTGCTGCGAAATGCTCTAAAGCCGTCTAGCCAGACACGGAGGTGCAAGAAGCTGAGTGTGTTCTGCTGTATGCCATTTCCCTGCCTGTCCAGAAGGCAACATGTTTTTGCCATTTGCATCCTTTCTGAATGTAGCACAACATGTTTTCTTGTGCCTGTTAATCATCTATCATTTCCAATTTGAATGAAGCTGTATTAGTGTGGATGATGAGAAATTGCCTTTAACCACTAATAGTTGGATGGGATTCTGTTTTTGTTTTGTTTCGTTTTGTTTTGCAGTACTGGGGATTGAACCTAGAGCCTTTGCACTGAGCTGCATCCCCTGGCTTTGTTTTTTTAAAATTTTGAAACAGCATCTCACTAAGTCTCTAAATTGCCCAGGCTGGGTTGGAACTTGTGATCCTCCTGTTTCAGCCTCCCACAGTGCTAGGGTTATGAGTATGCACTACATCCAGCTGGGATTCATAGTAAAGCAGCCGCAAAGACTGATACTGGTCTCCACGTCCTGGCACCAAGAGGCCAATGGACAGACAACCTCGGGAAGGCCATGCAGGCCCAGTCTGCCATCCCCAGCAGCAGGGAGGCATGGGTGACAGTGAGAAATGGTGGGAGAATATCGGTCTGGAGAAGGATGGGGGGGGGGTGTTCTTCGGAACCTGCTCTATGCCACCTCTGAACTTCCTCTTTCTTGCCATCTGGTCAAATGCCTTTGGTTTAGGGCCCTTTCTAGGCCTCACATTTTATGAATTAAAAACTGGCCCTTGTCCATAGTTCCCACATTCATTACATGACTGCATGCATAGATGATCCTTGATTTACAGTAGATCGACCTTTTGACTTTACAATAGTGCAAAAGCAATATGCGTTCAGCAGAAACTGTAATTGGAATAGGAATTTTAATCTTTCCCCAGATTAGTCAGGTGTGGTCTGTTACTCTCCTGTGACCCCCAGGCAAAGGCAGTGGGCTCTGGCTTTCTGTTGCCATAGAATCATGAGAAGCCACCATGCGTGCAGTATGTGAGGAGGACTAAGTATATTTTCAGCTTAGGACATTTCCTGTTCTCAGTGGCCTCACTGGGATGGAAACCGGCTGCAAGTCGAGGAGCCTCTGAATGAAGTCCCTGTGCGTCAGGGTTTGTCCTTAATGCTGAGGACACAAGGATGGGAAGCGCATTTCTGCCTTTGGAGAGAAGGAGAGGGGACCGATAGACTGAGTACTGGTTGGGAGTCAGGTGACTACCAGTGCTGGGCTTTACTTGCCGATCTCAGGTCATCACTGTGAAAACTTTCTCAAAGCAAGCATTGGATGGGGGCGATCCCCACCACTACCAAAATAAGAAAATAGAGTGGGCGTTTTCACCCTTATTTTATGAATGGAATTTTATGAAGGACCAGGAAGACTGAAAATGTGCCCAAGGACACAAAGCTTGTAAATGGAGGAATTGGGACGTGCAGTCTCTTTGACCCCAAAGCTCATGCTATTTTCCCTCCTCTTTTCTGTTTTTTACACTTTAATGTGATGAATGCTAACTATACATGTATAATATATGATGTTTTACAGTTGGAATTACAAGGGAGAACGCCTAATTCTGTTTTGGAGATACTTTAAGATTTCACTGAAAAGATGACATTTATTTTGAGTTTTGAAGGATGAATAGGAGTTGACCTGGTAGAGATGGAAGATGGGTTGCAGATGGTAGAGGGAATGGTGCGTGCAAAGATACAGAGTGAAAGGAGTATAGTGAAGAAAAGTATAGTATTTCAGGAACTGAAAATACACTCTGACTTTTTCTTTCTTTCTTTTTTTTTTTTCTTCAGTACTGGGGCGTTAGTCCAATAGGGCCTTCTTCATAATCTACATTGCCAGTCTTTTTTTTTTTTTTTTTTTTAATTTTCTATTTTGAAACGGGTCTTGTTAAGTTGATAAGTTCCCCAGGTTGGGGTTCGATTTGTGATCCTCCCTCGGCTACCCAGAGTGCTGAGATCATGCGTGTACACCACCCAGCCTGGCTCACTTATCTCATCTGGAGAACACTGACTAACGTATAAATTGCTGAAAATTTCAGGTCGCATTTCTCTACGGGCATAGTAATATCTTGATTGAATTTTTTCTGAACTGGCAGTCTTGCCTCACCCTTCTGTCTCCGTAGCTGTGTAGGATCAGACATGAGATCAGGTGGCATTTCCACCAGTGGTCTGATCTGACTCTGATTTTGGTCCACCCTGACTAACTCAAGGGCCAACATTCCACCCACATTAGCTTCCGAGATGGTTTTGCTTTTCACTTGCAAAGGGGGAGAGAAAGCCAGTTAAGAGCACAGCTGGTGACAATTTTGCTCTGAATTCAGAGGTTGTGGAGCAAACGGGAAATTTCATGCTGCAGCCGTGGTAGTTGCCCGCGGAGCTTCAGGGGCTTACACTGTGTGTCCACAACCTGCTTCCCGTGAAATTGCCTGTAAGTGCGGACAGCCTAGGAAGGCGCCCTGAGCTGCTTCCCTCGCAGGCTCTCTGCATTTCCTGACAAGGTCCGTTCGAGCGCACTCGCCCCGTGCTGGAACTGGTGAGCTTGCGCATGCCCTCTTCTCATTGCTGGTTGGCTTTCTAGCATCCTAATAGGCCGTCTGCCCGGTGGACAGCTAGTTCGTGCCTCAGGGGTGGTCCTTTAGCGCAGGGTGTGTGGAAACCACTCAACACAATTCGTGTCTAAGCAGACCTGTGGCTAGAGACGCTGCTGCATTCAGACGCACACAGGAAACCTTAGCTTAACATCAAATATAGCTTAAAAGGACCATAAGTTATAATCATATAATTTTCCTTTTGACCAAGAAATATGCTGCCCCCAAAATGTGCTGCTTGTGGTGGGCCGCACTCCGCCCCACCCCACCCACCCACACTACTGAGTCTGCGCAGTGTGTTGTCCCACAGAGGCATCCTTGAAGCCTCTGGGATCCTGGTAAGAGGTGCGCTGTGCTCCTGATGGAACACACTTGCCTATGTCAGTCTTCAATTTACTGTGAAGTATGAGTCTCTGTGGTGCCATGCCCATGCTTCTAATAATGTTTAAATGGATCCTTCTGAGCCAGGCATGATGACACACACCTGAAATCTCAGCACTTGGGAGGCTGAGGCAGGAAGATCTTTGGAGAGTTCGAGGCCAGCCTGGGCTATATAGTGAGTTCAAGGCCAGCCTGAACTACACAGCGAGACCCTGTCTAAGAAAAAAAAAGAAAAAGAATCTTTCTGTTGCTGATGTCAGCCAGTTGCGAGTCTCTATCACTCCATTTAGATGTAGGGGAGTAATTGGTAGTTCAGAATCTTTCCTGGAAAAAAGAAAAGTCAACATTGGTCAAATGAAAAGGACAGAGTCAGTGATCCCTAAGGACCTATCGGTTCTAACATTCTGTCATTTCACTTATCGAAGCTCTGCTGTAAGTTGAGGCTAGTTCTTTACTCCTCTGAATTAAAGCCAGTCTCGTTCTCCTGTTAGCATTCTTACGACTTGCAGCTTCCATGGCCTTATCCTCACTTTCTCTCTGTGCTTCATTAAAACAAATTCCTCCTTATTTGACCTTTTCCCCAAAGGACATTTTCCTCAAACATATCATCACACACGTGGACATGAAACTCTCTGGGACTGCTCCAAGCTCTCGTCTTACTCCACTTGCTCATCCAAACAGCACCGATAGGGGCTTACCTGCAGCGGGACTGTGCAGTTGGGTACGGAGAAGTCAGAGTTTGCCTCTCCAAGGCTGGCTTTTACAAGAGCAAAGCCATTTCAGGGAACTTGCAGTCACTGTCTTTTCTAACTTGGGCCTGCTCGATGATAGGTGACATTAACTGTGTTCTAAACATGGTGGCCAACAATTAATGTCCTGCACCCATTCCCCTCTTGGCTTCTGCAGAGAGAGGCCAGTTAGGTGGCCTAGAGATGTTGTTGGCAGGAACCATTGCTCCTTTTATTTGGGAATGAAGGACCATAAATGGTGGCTGCCTTCCAAGGTACCGATAAATAAGTAAATACAGAGACTGTTGACATTGGTCTTTCTGCCAAACATCAGTCTGCTTCTCACTTCATTTTGGGAGAGATGAAAAGAGAGAAAGCTTATTGAACAGGTTTTTGAGAAGTAGACTTAGTTCTGCTTGGAATCTCCCCTTCTTTTGGAAATCTTTCAATCGGCTTTCTGGCCCTTACTGGAGGGTGAGACAGTTCTGTCAGACATGAGACTGTGTTAGTTTATTCATAATAATTATCAGCAACAGGCTGAAACAGAGCCATGTTAAGGATGAACTGTTGTCAACAGACACTTCAACTATAGCTTGGAATGATGGCTCAGCTCCAGAGAGAGCGGGCACTTAGTGTGCAGCACACTGCAAGACAGTTTAAGGTGCTGGCCAGGCTCATGCTGATTTAGGAATGCTTCACTCTGGGCTTGATATTTTCTCAGCTCACAGACTCACACAGGTTTTAATCACTGCCTCTTGAGTGAGAGGAGCTTGTGCACTGACTGAGTTTGAAGCCACACAAAATGGTGGACTTGCTAAGCAAGGAAGAAGTGAGAAGAGATATTCTGTTTACTTTTGCATGCCTAGTGCTCGATGGGTTTTTGCCTGTCATATCACAGGCACTTCATGATATTTGTGGAATGAATGAAAGAATTTGGAGATGCTTGGCTTTCCCTCCCCTATGAGCCGCTGCTTCTGTATTTTGAATTACTCCAGAGCCACACTTTGGGATATCTTCAATTTAAGACTTGGCTCTTTCCAATGCCTCTCTTGCCACCCACATGATCAGCTTTCTTCTCCTAATACCCTCCCCATAAAGACTGCTCCAGTCCAGCCACAGGCATCTTCTTCTTCTTCTAGAGTCCTGCGCATAAATTCTTGGAAGCAGTTGCCCCTCACTGCTTTAAAAATTATTTCACTGGTTTTCTGTTCCACTTGTCTTTTTCTCAAAACATTTCAAGATCCTCCAATCCACACAACTCTGAGAAATAGCGAGCTGAGAAACAGAGGACAGAGAAGACAATAGAGGACTGAAGAGTGCAAGACTTCTCTTTTCTCGAGACCCAGAGGAGATGGCCCATCTTTTGGGCAGAGCGGCCAGTCTTAAAGGCCACACTCATTTCAATTTTCCACTCTGTTTTTCACAGCTGAAGTGCAAAGGATTTAACCCTTTGGGTTAATGTCTTCTCTGGGTTTGTTACTGCTTTTCTTCAGAGTGTGATGCATTACCTTCCTATAAAGGCACGAGTGTGAAGGCATATTCACCTCTACACACTCTAGATATACTGGAGTTGGACTAGCTTGGACATCACTGCTTTCTCTGCAGTTCGTCATGGTATCTGAACAACCCAACTTCTTATTAACGGTTTCATGATGAGACTTTCAGGTAATTAGGGAGATCCTGTTTTCCAGAGAAGGCTCATCTCCTCAGAACTCTGGTTCTAAATCATTGTAGATTTGGGAGGGTGGATGTTTTGATGGACAGTCTGCCATTTGGGGGCTGGAACAGTGTAATGGGCTACTTATGTTGAACTGATCCCTAGTATGTGTTTGTGTCCACAAAGAGACACAAGCTTGCATGATTTTTTTAAGGGTTTCTTCATGCACTTTTGTTATTTATATTTTTAATTGTGTGAAAGTACCCAGAGGCTTAGTGGCAAAGAAGACAGTTGTAAAAATTGAATAAATAAATAAATTAAAATTTAAAAAAAATCCGAGTTAGTGATGTCTGACTTCCTCTATTCATGTTATTGCTACTCTTGTTGCTTTTTGGTTTTTGTTTTGCTTCTTGACTGTTGTTGTTTTCCAGGAAAGCTGTCATTTATCGTGAGAACAAGAGCAGCCATGTGTTGATTTTTCTGGATCCTTTTTGGATACTATCCCAGTGCTAATGAAGGCCCTTCCAAAGTGCTAATGAGCTGGTGCCAAAATCAGTTATGCTGAAAACAATAGAAGAGAGTGGTACACAGACAGCATGTACACTCGTATGTGCATGCACACACATGGATATTTGAATTAATATATGCAACCCCCTCTGTCCGTGCAAATACACACACCTATTTGTGCAAACGTGGTGTGCGCTGGAGCCACAGAGAGGGAAAATTTGAGCACTGCGCTTTATTTGAAGGACTTTTTACATCTGCTAGCAGAAAATTTTCTGTGATCAATGACTAAACAAAGTTTCTAGGTTTTTCTGTACTCAGATTCATCAGTTGGGAAGCTGTTGGAAATGCACATTTGTCAACCTAAAAAAAATTAGGGAGGAATGTAAGTGTGGCAGTAGATCTTATGTATTTTAAGATGTGAGGATTCTACTACAAAAAACACCAGGAAAGCCCTTACTTTGGACTTAGCTGTTGGGCTAATTTTAATAAAGTCTTTAACATTGATCTTTGAGTAATTTTGAAGTAGTTTATTAGCTGACAGGGAATATTTTGTAGCTGGGGCTTTCTGTGCCCTCAGTAGATTCTCCCTTTCTCCCAGTGTGTAATTATTCTCTCCTCAATTTGTTTACACAGCTTGGAGATGGGGACAGAGTTCTCTGGTGACCATGCAACTGACTGCAATCACCCTAAAGAGAAGCATTTAGGAGCTATAAAATCTAAATGCCCTGCCATGCACCATTACATCGCACAGTTATTCAAATTTCGTAAATTAAATAATCTCAAATAACTTGATTTCGGGGCTTTAAAATTCATCTCCATGGTGCCCCGTAGTCAATTTCCTTTATTATTGTTCATCAAGTAGAATTTATGTTTTTTATGAATCAAAGTCCTAGCCTTCCTGGCGGTCTGAACGGCTTGAGGCTCCCCGGGCCGAGGCGGTGGCTTGGTGCGCCATCTACCGGCACTTACGGCGCAGCGCCGAAGATCTCCCGCCGGCCGCGGGCTCCCCAGTTGGGGGAGCAGCCGGCTGGAAGGCCAGGGTGGCCACATGGCGCAGTCCATGAGAAATCGTAGACCACACAGTGCTCTTAGCTACCGTGCCAACGAATCCCTTGGGCTGTGTTATTGTGGGCCAGCTTGAAATTTTGGCGACAACCCGGAGCGCCTGACTGCAAAGCCTCCACGTTTGGTCGCATCCTGCAGCTCCTGCTCTTCCTTATTAAAGCCCAGATGATCTAATTGAGCTGCTGTTAGCAGTAGGAATCTGGAAAGCCAGGAGAGGTGGAGCCTCCCTCTGCTCACGCACACTGCTTTTCGGAGGGGACGTTTTATAGTTAGAGACGGTGGCCACTGATGCCTGAAGATCATCATGCAAAGGCAATGGATGAGTTTTTGCCATGTGCTGTTGTTGTTTTTAATATTTTAATTCCAGAAAAATCTTTTCTCTTTAACATTTCTGAAATGGAGTCAAACTCAAGGTGCAGTGGCAACCTGTACCTTATTTCAGAGCTGGTTTCAGCTTATGTTCACTTTAATTACCGTTTAATAAATAAACAGCCACTGAACAACGCTGATATGGTTGAAGGAGGGAAATCCTTTCCAAGCAGCATTAAAATATTACTTAATTCAAACTTCTCTGATACTATTTTTGATCTACCTTGCTGTGGTAAAGTTACTGAAATGCTGTTTCAGTAACTGATGTGTTTTCCCACTTTTTAAAGAATATAATCTGAGCATAGACCAAAGCACCCAGGACGTTCCTTTTCCCCTGCAGGCTTCTGAGCAGAGGGCCCCTGAGTGGATACTGGTGTGGCTGAGAGTGTCTTCCCATTTGTCAGCCTGCTGGCTGTTCCCTTCCCCCAAGTCAAACGTTTCAGCGTAGCAACAGATGGTGTTGTAGGCTTTTTGCTGAGTTTAAAATGGTCTACTTTGTGCTTTCTCAGGAGAATTGTGACCATAAGTCTGCTCTGTCATTAGTAAGTGGAAACAAGACCATGTAACTTTCTCTTAAAAATTAGGATCCTCCTAGCCTGCTGGTTCAGTGTTATTAATGTGTTTTTCTCACTGTCAAAAGGCAGTTTCCTTTCATTTCCTTAAAAGGAAATCACTTCTCCTAACATGTACCACCATCCCCATAGTTCCTATGCATTTTTCTTAGACGTTTGTGCAGAAAAGAAACCTAAGGAAAAGGTTCCCAGGTTGGAAGGAAAACAGACACATTTTAGTCCTTTTGCATATGTTGTTTTACAATTCTTGGGTGATTTTAAGGTTATTTTAACTTCCAAGCAACAGTCAAAATGAGGTAGCAAAAAATAATACAAAAGAAAGCATTTGATTCAAGAAAAGCAGATTGAGGATTGGTGACGTAGCTTAGTGTCAGAATGTTCATCTAACATGTACAAGGCCTTGGATTTAACCCGCAGCACTGTTAAAAACAAAACAAGATTGAATGGTGCTGGGGGTCTTTTTACTGACATTACATTTGACGAAGAAAATTCCACCCTTAAAAGACTTGCCTGAGTGCATTTCTTCCTGCTGTTCAGTGGTGTGAAGAAAAACCAATGCTTTTCTTGGTAGGTTGTTAAAAGTTCAAGGTAGAACTATTTTTCTTTCATTCTTCTAAAATTCTGGCCTTGTAGTTAATCTCCTTTATTGTTGTTGTCACTATCATTAGGGTGGCTTTTGTTACAGAGCTTTCTTGGCGTGCACAGTCTTGCGTTGCCCTGGGTCCTGTACCTGTGAGGCTTCACCAGCCTGCGCCGTGCCGATTTGAGTGGTCACCTGTGGGACATGCCCGCTCTGCCCTTCTATCTCTGGCCTAATCTACTTGATTTTTTTTCCCCCTCTCTACAAGGCTGAAAAGAATTGGCAAAGAAACACAGGGATGAACTAGCTTTCTCAAACTAGTTGTTAGTGTCTATTCTTTTGTGAGAAAACTAGAAACAAAATGGCTTTGTGGTTTCTAAAACTAAAACATCTATAGGGAGGTGTTATAGGCTGAATGGTTTCTCCTTCCCCAATTCATATATCGAAGTCCTAACTTCCAGTACCTCAAAATGAGGTCGGATTTGGAAGAGGGCGTTTGTAGAGATAGTTAAATTAAAACGAGGGCATTGGGGTCTGTCCTCTTCTAATATGCCTACTGTCCTTGTGAGAAGAGGAGACTTAGACACAGACCTATGCAAAGAGAAGAATGGAGGGTATGACTGAAAAATACAATGAATATTTAATTCAAAACATTTTATTGTAGTAAAAGACAATTGTCCTTAATGCCCCTCAAAATATTCCTCCTCGCTTAAGACACACTTATCCCACTGCTCTTGCTCCTTTCTGAAGCAGTTCTGAAAGTCTTCTACTTTGAGTGTCTTTAGTTGTGGCTGCCTTGATGTCCCGATTCCATTTTAAAAAGCCAGAAGTCTTATGGTTCCATATCTGGTGAGCATGGCAGATGAGGATGCACCGTCCTGTTTTGACCAGTCCGCCTTTCTGTTGGGCAGCACTCAGACCTCATGAGAAAGGACTTCCAGAACTGCTTCAGGAGGTGGCAAGAATGATGAGCAAGTCTGTTTGAAGTGAGGAGGAGCATTATGAGGGGGAATTAATGACAATGTGTTTTTTATTGTAATAAATTTGTAGTTTAAACATTCAGTATATATTTTGATCACCCTTTGTATGTGATGACACAGTGAGAAGATGGGTCATCTACAATCGAGGAGAGAGGCTTGGAACGGCTTTTCCCTCACAGATCTCAAAAGAAACTGTCCCTAATGACACCCTGACTTGGAGTTCCAGGCCTCAGGGCTGTGAGATAATAAAGTTCTGCTGCTTCAGCATACCACTCTGCCTGTGGTACTTTTTATTGTTTCTTTTTTTTTTGGTACCAGGGATTGAACTCGGGTCCTTGCACTTGCGCAGCAGTCAGCAAAACCACTGAGCTAAATCCCCAGCCCTTTTTAATGGCTGCCCTAGCAAACTAATACAAAAGGTGAGAATATTGAGCCATGTGAATATTTTGGTATTTCAAAGTAACTTCTATTACTTAAAAATCCTGAATTTTACCTCTCCAGGCAGGGAAATGTGCTATGCTTGTGCCCTCAGTAGTCTGCAGCCTGGCTGGGTCTAGTTGAGTCCTCTGCAGACCATAACCTCACACTGGAGCCTCTGGAGCACTATTGCCGATGTAACCCATGGCTCCTAATGGGAATAAATGTCTTCCATTTGGCTTCATGTATCTGAACACCAAAAGCATTTTACTGCTAACAAATGAAAAACTTCAGGACTGTAGTGCTGGGTCTCTTGCAAACCCTTCACATGACTTTGAACAGAGATGTACCCTGTGGACCTGCAAACTTAATCCCAGAGCTATTGATGCACCTGTCTGTACCACCCGGATGGAAGGCTCAGGTGAGAGCTTTTTGCTTGTGCACTTGGAAGGTGAGGTCTCATCAATAAATGCTCTTTAAGGGCTCGCTTGATTAGTCTTTTTATCAATGCAACTGTTCTCCTCAGGGTGTGCAAGCTAATTGCTAATTGCTAATCAAATGCTAATTCTTTGGTGGATGCCATAGGCACTGGGTTGCTTGCATGTGTGCTTGTAGTACTTCATGATATCTGGAGAACCCATAAGGATAGACATGATAGATCTGGTTTAGTAGATAAGAAACACAGCTACAACTTTTAGTTGGGCTTAGCTTTTCATTTTAGGTTAGTCAAGAAACATCTTAAAACCAAATCCAATCATGAGATTCAATGCCATTTAAAAAGATTATAGATCATTTTTATTTCTATTTTCTGTAGTGTAGATAAGCCTCAAATCTCAAAATATACAGGAAAGGAGTAAGAAGTAGAGCAAAGAAATATGTTTTTATACAGACTTTTTGCTAAAGTTCTATAGAAGTCTTGAAAAATCAGGCATTACCAGAGTAATGGGTACAGGTCACGGTGACAGCACTAAATAAACCTTCAGTAATAAACAAATCATGGTGAGTTTCCATATGATCACTATCATCTGTGCCTGTTCCAATAGGGCAGAGAACTTAAGGAGGAAATGAGCATAGTGTGTCATATATATCATACTGACACACCCCAAGAACGAGACAAACATTCTCTCAGGGAGGCTTCCACTAACTGATAGAAGCCAACAAGAATGTGCATTAATATGGATCTTATGGTTTGTAATCAGCTGTTCACTTCCCTGGATTAGGTTGTGTTTTACACACACACACACACCCTATGAAATAAAAAAGAACACAGTAGACATAAGGCATATGCTCTTGGGCTTTGTGGACTAATCAAATGTCAAAAATTGGAGAATTAATAAAATGAATACAATGAGTTGTCTAACTCAAAATTATATATATATATGTATATGTATGTATATATATGCCACCTTTGCTTTGGATTCATGTCACAAGACTCTACATAAATTAAATTCATAATTTGATCCATCTTAAAATAACTCTCTTTTGCTGTGGAGGTCTTTAAGGTCAAGTTCAAGAAGTACCAACACTACAATGATGGCCCATTTAATGCTTCTTTTCTGAACATCTTCTCTGGTATTGGTGCATTTTGTCTCTCCTCATCCCTGTCTGCACCAGAGAACTGATGGGCTGTGTATTTTCAGTATCTAGTACCTGGTTAGAATATGACAAATATTTGAATTACTTTTCATTTTTCACTTGTCATCAGAATATTTGAGCTGATATACCAAATGTACTCTTATGAAATCACATGACTTGAAATATCATTCCCTTCCAGATACTCTCATTTTAATGTTCACATTTAAAAACATGACTTTGTTTATTGGTGAATTGACCAATCTGTGATAAGGTGTGTTAAGCAATCAAGAGAATATTTTCATGATTTAGTAGAAAAGACCCTGATGTTTTTCCTATCAGGATGGTCCATGAGATGAATGTGATGTAAAACTATGATACATTTTACTGCTATAAAAGCAGCTCAGAAATCTTTCAGCTGCAAACACAAGGTGACATCTTTAAAGATAAGGACACTGAGGTATTGATTAGACAAATCTACTTGGCAAGGCAGAA